TTATGTTAAAAGAAGATAAAGACATTCCTGTACTATGGAAAAACAAATTAAGGAATAAAATGTTCTTTTAGTATTTCTATTAAGTACTGTCATTAAGTGCACCAAATCTCCAATTTCTCAATTTATGCATTTAAAGAGGGTAATTTTTACCCATGAGCATTCTTGAAAAGATGTTTTAAAAATATTTGCAAATGAAAATGGAGAAATCAGTCCATACCAAAAATCACTGCATTTCGCTATTCTTTTCTCTCTGAAGACCTAATTTAGGTCACAGGAAGCTAATCCCAGCTCCACCTTTACTCAAATCAGAAACTTCCACTACCACATAATATGCTGAGGCCAAACATGCTTCGACTGCAATTAAGCAAGAAATTCAGCAGCACATCTAGCTGTACTGTCCTCAGGTTCGATACAAATCTTATTTATGAAGCAGAGAAATTTTGAATGGTATACAAAAAAAAGTAAATGTCATTGGTAGAGAAGCTAGAAGAAACAAGAAATATTAGATTTTAATTTAGGGGTGTAAAAACTATGTAAGTTTGGCTTATCAGAATGGTATCACACAATAGAAGACAGAATCATAGGCTGGTAAGGGACCTCAATCCCAGTCCAATCCCGAGCATAAATGCAGGAATGATATTCTTAAACAATCCCTGTCAAATATTTATCCAGTTGCCTCTTAAAACCATCAGGAGATATTCTACAGCTTCCCTAGACAGTCTATTCCACTACCTAACTGTTCCAACAGTAAGGAGGCTTTTCCCGAGATCTAGCCTAAATTGCCTTTGTTGCCATTTTTAACCACTGTTTTGTGTTCTCCCCTGCTGCAAGGAGCAGGGAAAGTTGGCTTTGAGATTTTTTTGTTGGGGGGGGGGGGGGGGGGTCTTTTTCTTAAGGGTAGCCTTTAAAATATTTGAACACTGCAATAATGTCTCCCTCCTTAAGCTCTTTTTCTCCAAGCTAAATATGCATAGCTTTGTCAGTCTCTCTATGTATAGCTTGCCTTCCAACCCCCTTATTATTTGTTAGCCACCTCAGGATCCTCTCTCCATATCCTCTTAAAGTTTGGAGCCCAGAAACACACACAAGTCTCTGGCCATGAACAGGCATTTATTTCTAGCAGTAAGAAATCACCCTAATCATTCCAACCTCCCCTCCCTCCTTTGATTACTCCTTCCTGGCTGAGCCCCAAGGGGCATGGCAGTATGGCATAGGAGCAGAGGCATGAAAAGTTAGGGAAATTAACCCAGGCATGCATCCCCCAGGCACTTGTAGTTGGACAGCCCTGATATAAAGAACGAACAGGCTTTTAAAAAGTTATATGCACTGACTTCACATTTCCATAGGATTTGGAACCCTTAGTATCCCATTGTACACATGGCCAATGTGATTTTGTAGAATATTCACTATTTAATGTTTTAATTTTTTGAGTGTCTAGCTACTTATGCAGTCACATATCTTACTACCATATGTAAATTTGCTCCTACATTTATTTTACTAGTATTGGCATTTAAAATCAGATGTAGATTCAGTCTCTGTTGTCCCACCCACCAATTTACTCTAATGGAGGTAAACTCATTTTCAATCTTTCCCTTAAGATATATGCATATTAATAAATGTAAGTTACTGCACTGGTCCACAACCCAGAATAAAGCCTTTAAAGGCTCTAACATGAGGGAGAAAATAAAATAGAACAAGATTGATTACTTGTCACCAATCAAGCCATACATCCGTTCATTAGTATATGAACTTACCGCCTTGGCTAGTAGATTTTGACCACAATTCTTAATAAAAGATATCAAAATTCATAATAAAAGATAATCAGATTCACCCAAAGAACCTTGTCTACAAAAGGGATAGAAATTTTTTTTTTAGCCAACATTTCTTGTTACATAGGTAACCCAAAAATCTCTATGGCATTTCCCTGCTTCACTTTCATGCTCTAAAGCAAGCATAAACATGTATCGCCAAGAACCCCAGGAGGGAAACAAACCAAATCGCAGTTGCTTCTTTAAGTTGCGATTCTGACAACAAATAATTCAAATGCTGTTTCCAAGGTCTGAAGGTTAGCTTCATATGTTGTTTATTAATAAAGGCCTCTGCTTAGATAGTAGGCTCTGTCCCAATTATGCAGCGACTTCCAGAGAACATCCAAAAATTAAATAACTTTTGAAGGAATATTTGATCTTCAGCTACCCATTTACACCTAAGGAGCCATTTTCAATCCTTAAATGCCACACTTATTACACAAAAATGATTAGATCCTATTCCTTTTTCCTCAAACCAGGCCATACAGTAAAAACCTCTCCTCTTTTCCATGAGGAACAGAATTTGGGGATTATGCAAGATCATGTATTCCGTGACTAATATACCCAGCTCAGTGGAAACTTCCAGTGTATAATCATTCAGAAGACAGTGGCAATTCAGTTAATTAGTTGCTTCGCAGATCTACTGGCAAGTCCTCTTGGTACAGGGGAACTACAAAAAGATATTACTCAAGCTCTGAAGGTTAGAACAGAACAGGTCTGCCACCCATCAGGCCTTTTAGAAGATTTTCTCTGACATCAGGACCTTTACAAATTTCTCTGCATCTCCTATATCAACAGAATTAGACTTGGAGCATTACTCAATAGTAGAGGTAGAGGTACACCTTTACCTCTGATTTCCACGATGGTCTCAGCATCTGGGAACCAAGGATAAGGATCCGTTAAACTAGGAAGAGGCACTTGTTAGGGTCAATGATTCAGCACTGGATCAGAGACCCCGATGATGGCTGGGCCAAGCACCAGAGCCACTACACCTGCCCCTGATCCCTGGCTAATACAGCTTCCCCAGTGCTCTGCAGCTGGATTGGCTGCCAAAAGTGTCACTCGCCCCTTATAAGTCTCATGCTACAGACACTTCAACGCAGTCTCAGTCTGTTCCAGCAAGCCTTGTGTTCTCAGCTCTCCCTGGTTCTCCTGACTTCTGACCCTAGCTTTGGCTTTCCTGACCTTGATCTTGAATCTCCCCTGGAACTCAGCACTGTCTCTACTCTCTCTGGTTTCCTGGCATCCCGATTCAGCACAGCTTCCTTGACCCCAGTCTCAAATCTTGGCACCAGCTCTCTGACCTTAGCTCCTGACCCTTGCTTACATCTTTGACTATGTCTCTTGGATCTCTTCTCTCCACTCCCCTGGAACCGGGTCCCACACTCTCTGCTCCGCTGACCCAGGCCCCAATCTGATGATCCAGTAATCTGTGCCCCAATCCTGCTGACTCCCTACTTGTCCCTCAGGACCTATCTATCTGCAAGCCTGGCCACATACATCCCAGCTAAACCCTTAGAGCAATGTATCATGTCTGTATTTCTCTGGGGGCACATCTGCTGTAAAATTTAAAGCTCAGTTCTCATTTATGAAGAGCTTCCAATTAAGTCAAATTGACAGAAATACCACTTGAATAAACTGGCACACAAATGAAAACGGTAAGAAGTGTGAACTGCACTACATAGGTTCAAACAATCAAAGGCACTGTAATTGTACATTAAGCCTAGTTTTAACAGCAATGTCACTTACTATTTCAATATAGGAATGTCCTGCTATTCTAAAGTCATGCAGGACAGAGATGCAGAATGCAAAATCTAGGAGGAATGCTTACAGTTATATTTTCCAGTGGCGGGCCACCTAAGATGCATGCAGTTTGGCCAACTCACTAAACCACAGATATAAGCCTGGTGGGCTGCATGAAGCCCAGGTGTTGTGCACCACCACTGTTTAACTTCAGTGACATCCTGATTAGTAAACCAAGAGTCTGGCATTATACTAGGGACAGGGATGGTCTTCTGTGCCAGCTTAAAACCTTGGCTACATATAAAAAGTGTGCTATGTGCAGTACCGCTGTGCAAAACACCATCATTTCGTTTCAACGTTTCAAAGGGACAGTGTTTCGTTTCATCATTTCGTTTAGTTTCGTCGTAACTGTTTTGCTGTTTCGACATGGTTTGATGTTTCGCCCGTAGGCTATAATGGGGAATCATAAAAATGCCTCAAGCTTTGTCATTTCTTGCCTGATTTTGGTGAAAATTGCAGGAAAGGTAGCTCCTTCTGAGGGCATGAAGCCTGCCAAGTTTCAAGGATATAGGTGCAGAGGTTTCTGGGAAACTGCACCTCAAGCTGTTCAAAACACAACTCTTGACACTTGCCGGCAGCGGCAGCCTCCTCTCATCCAGCGTGCAGATCCCTGGGCCCGCACCCTCGGGAGAAGTCCGGCACAGCCCAGCAGCCCTCCAGGGGTGCAAGCCCCCGGATCTGCCCGCCAGATGAGGAGGCTGCCACCTGGGACTGGCGCTGAAGCCAAGCAAGACCAGCTACAAAACTCAAAATGTTTTGAAACCTTTTTGAGTGCCCTCGTTTTGTTTCAAAGCCTTGTGTTTCATTTCGATTTCGCTGTTTCGAGCTCATAACATGTTGAAAAAGCTTCAAAACGAAACACCCGGTGAAAATTTCACACAGCCCTAACGTGCAGTTGTCTATATGAATTGCAGCAATTTACTCCTTAAATTAAGGAGTAGTTTTTTCCAGTTTCATCATATGTAACAGACTCATGACTCATCTATAAATAAACAAAGATGAAATAACTCAATTTTACTCCAATATTTAGAAATTTATCCAAGAATGGGGTTGGACTAGATGCCCTATGGAGATCCCTACCAGCCCTCCTCTATAAATGAGAATGTCTCCCCCACCCTTCAAATTAGCTAAAGCCAACACCTGACATGAATTACATACAGAAAAGTAATAAGAGCACTCTTACTCTGGACATGATTATTTTGGAACAGAATGCCTGCTAACTACCTTTTGGGTGGTAATATGTTTTGGGAGGAGAAAGAAAAAGTGAGTCTCTGAGTTCCCAGACAAGAGTCATCCTTTCTTTACATTTTGAGCACAGTAGAACTTCAGTAGTTATCTGTTCATACTAAACAAAGGATTCTGAAAGAGGTGATAAAGAAGGAAAACCTACCTGCAATAGGCACATATCCAACTCCTTGCTGGTACACTGTGGGCATCAGGACCACTGGCTGGGGCTGCATCATCATAGCAGCTGGTACAGACTTGATAGGAGAAGGATGACAGAAAAATTAAAATTATTCCAGAAAGAGAAAACCAAAAACATCAGCACAAAATTTTTGCATCTTGCTAGTCAATGCACAATGGTTAATTCCAAGAAATTAAATTTTCTGCAGTGGTTACTAATCTATGAAGTAGCATTTCTCAGGAAATCAACCAAGTACTCAAAACGAATTGTGATCCGACAGAAGTGAGTCTGAAACTTATTAGCAGAGTGCTAACAAATCAAATCATAACAACCTTTTGACACGCATCAAAAATTAGGTATTCATTTGCTTCAGTATTAAGTGGGAAATCTGAACTCCCAAGATGATTTCCATACCTCATTTCATATTTTTTGCTTCATTTCACAAATTGTACAGAACTTTTGTTACAGAAGCTTCACAAAAAGCTCTAATTTCTACCACTAAGAAAAAGGACATATTTCTCCAAGTCAAATAAACCCAGATGGATTATTTTTAAGAGACAAAAGGAGTGAACACTACTTTAGGAATCATGTTTCAATTTATCTAGACACCTTAAAGTATTTCTAAAAGTTGTTGTAACTGATCAGAATGAGCAAAAGATCATGATTACCCAAGTCTACAATGGGGTTCCAGGTACTTAAATGTTAAGTGTCCTGGAATACTTTCATCTTGTTCAGAAATTTTCCATTTTCCATTAGTAACCTCCTGAAACCATTCCTTGAAGTAATCCAACACCACCTATATGAAATTATGCAAGCTATTTCTAATTTAAAAATTAGCTTCATAATTAATAATTTGGTTAACTGGTTTCTTGGTTAAGTTCAGCCAATGATGTTGATTTATTTCCAAGGAGTAATACTTGAAGAGTTCTACCACTCAGCGTAAGTATAGGTAACAGGAGATTCCCAGAGTGATAAACATGCTTCTTTACCGCTAGCTCAAACATTTCAACTTTCCCTTTCAAAAGATTTTTGGCAAGCCTATTTCTGGCCCTGTAAGCATAATTTCACTCCATCACAATATCCAACTGAACATTAATCTGATCTGGAATATCTGTCTTCATCCTTCTGCCTGTAAAATCTGTAGTTTTCCATACAAGGGAAGAAGTGAAGTGTGACCTTCAGTTGTCTGCCTTCAACTCAGAATGCAAGCGAGCTCAAAAGAGAGAGCAATTTATTATTTTCTATTCCAACGATGAGAACAAACAATATTCAGGTTATATTTATAAAGTTCATGGAGGTGGAAAGTTTCCCATCATCCCTCCCACCCCCATCAAATAAGCAATTTCAGGCAGTTGGATGGGGGAGAGGAGAGGGAGTGTGGGCAGGCAAAACAACACAGACGACTTCAAAAACAGAAAAAAGGTCACTTGCATCTAGATACTTATTTTCCCCACTCAGCTCATTCCTGCACGTACATGTTTTTGGTTGCACACTGTACAGAAAAAGCAAGAGCAACATCCATCCATCTTATTAAGAAGGATTTGCTGACTGTACTTAGAATAGCTAAAATATCCATCTGTTACATTTACCATAAGAACATATTTCAGGGACAGAAGACAAGAAAAAAAAAGATGAGATGCATGGCGAAGCTTTTATAGGAGAGTTTCATCTTCCTCTACCCTTATGCAAGGAATTTTTCCTATTAGATTCTGAGGGCAGAAATTCATTTGACTTACCGTATATGACATAACCAAGTTAATCATTCCTTCTTTGTCGTCACCCTGCCTTCCACTCAGGCTATACCACTCATCCTCCACCTTCCCTTGTTTCAGAGACTCAGGAATAGTGATGTGTGTCCAAGCGATGCGGTCATCCATTGAAAAGGCTCTCTGAAGGGCATTAGAAATAAAATATTTATTGGATCAAGTTTACTGCCTTCCAAAATAAAAACCTCAACATGACTCAACTAACGATTTTTTGAGCTCAGGTTTCATGATATCACATTTTCTTCATTTCAGCTTTAAGCTGTTCTTTGCAACAGTTTCCACAGCTAAGCTATTCTGCAAACAGTCTCTTTAACCAAATTACTTTACGTAATGGTTAGAGTAGAATTTGACTTTATTACTCCTAGAACTCTCTGACAACTTCTACATCCTTTCCACTCACATAACACTGGAAGAAATTATCTCCTGAGTCAATCCCCACAAGACCATAAGCCACCATGTAACAAATGTTTAGTTCAAAATGGTTCCATAAGAACATAACGCTTATACCAGGGGTGGGCAAAACATGGCCTGCGGGCCAAATCCGGTCCACAAAGCCATTCTATCCGGCCCACGGAGCCCCTAAAAAAATTTAGAAAATTAATACCTGTTTTTGGTTCCTGTCAAAGATGAAAGGAACCACGGGCAATAGGACCCAGGGGAAGCCCGGCAGGCTTCTCCAACAGCAGGGCCTGCCCAGCCCCGCGGGAAGCTCCAGCAAGGACCACGTGGCTGCTCTGCTC